GCTGGATTCTAATCGTCGGCCTCTATTTGCGCACGAGCACCGCCAAGGACCCTCTCGCCCACAAAATTCTTTGCGCCAGACCTCCCTTCCTACCGTCCCCTCCTTAGCCTCCCCGGACCTAATCCTCTCTCGCAGACAGCGTCTCCTTTTCACCCGCCTGGCCATACGAAGTTATGGACATGATGATTTGCGAAACCCTTTGCGGCAGCGCACGGTCCTCGCACCCCCTCGCCCGCATTTGGGCCGGCCCGAGAACCGAGCGCTGTGAGGACCGCCACGCCGGCCTAAATTCTCCCTCCTCCTAACCGCCACCAAGGAACAGTGTAACTCACGGCCGCCTTGGGCAAAGAGTCGTCAGGCTGCCCGGAGAGATCCGCCCGGATCGGCAACACACCGGCGCCTCACGCCGGCGCTGCGGCGAAAGCTCCCGCGGCTCTGCGCGAAAACCGCGCCGGCAGTGAACTTGTCGAGATCCACCGCGACAGTATTTGCGCCGCAGAGGGCCCCAAGGCCCAATGGCCGCCACGTTCCCGCGCGCCTACCCGCCCGCAGCTTCCGGCCAGGAACTCTGCGACCAGCGGCGTGAACGGCTCGCCAGCGCCGCGACGCACGTGAGGCCCCCCGCCCGAAAACAGATTGCCAGGGCACCATTGTGCCTAGCCGCCACGGGCACGCTTGCGCAGCAAAGTTCGGCAGCCGTGGCGCACATAGTGTAAATAAGGGTTAGGATGTATATAGTGTCGTTCCGTGAAAGTGCATCGTGTGGTCAAGTGTAAATAGAACATAGTGTGAATGAGCGTGGTGACATGCTGCGGTGCTGAATGAAAAAAAAATTCCAAGGAAAACTAAAAACCCAAATAAAGCATGGTAGTATAATACCAAACATCATGTGCTAAATACTTAGGTTGCCGGCCCAAAGTGCCGGCTTCGGAACACTAGGTTAAGTTAGAAATAAGTTTCAGTTAAGCTAGTAAGTAAGTTCTGCCCCCTTTTTTGCCGCATAAGCCATAGAGCTGCGGCGTACGTTGTACCCCAAGAAGAAAATAAACTCCCGCCTCGCCAGGGTTACTGGCGGGGGGAAAGTTGAAGAAAAAAGAGAAGCGGTCGGGCGAGCGAAGGTCAGTGAAGTAGGGAGGGCGGGGGTTAGGGGTTGCGATCGAAACGATCATAAGCTTAATAAAAAAAATAATAAAAAAATTTAAACAAATTATTGATACCAGACAACATCCTTTATTTATCATAATAATAGAAGGTATCTACCTCACCAGCGATCTAATTACCGTAAATAGTACAATATCAGATTTTTAAATTGGTTCCGTAATAACAAATTAATAGTAAATGAAAACTGTTTCAATGCAGTTTTCCATTTCAACTAAACAGCTCTGTACTCCATTGAAAATGAACGTTGTGCCATTGACTGGTGTTAAGGCAGCAACATTTTTAGGTCTTTCAATTATGACAAACCTTAAATGGAACGTCCATTTAAATTAATAGAAAACTAAATCAAGTTCTTTATGCTACACTTTCAGAGTTCAAATTCAGTCAACCTCCATACTGCCTCTTGTGTATATTTCGCAAATGTTCATTCCCGTCTGAGATAAGGGATAAGATAATAAGCTCCAAGACTTTTAGATTACAAAAAAGAATTCTATGAATAATAAGCAAATCCCACCCATGTGATTGTGAGCCTTTCTTTATTAATCTAGGTATCTTACCACTACCTTTTTTCTGGATATGTTAATCGGTGTTTTTTGTCAAAAATGACTTACTTAAGGGCGGGAATATATTTTCAGCAAACGCTGATATCTATAACTACAACACTACAACTTTGTAATCATATGCAGCAGGTGACAGTATCAACAGCTCACTACAAAGAATTCGCATACAAAACATGTTAATTATTGAACGATGAAAATCGATACAAAAGTTTAAGTGACAAGTAAAATATTTACTGCTGTACAACTGTTTCTATACAGTTAGAGATTATACCGAGCATCCAAAAGGAAAGTAATATTAATTTTAACAATGACATTTAATGAATTGTTTACCATTTGGAGTGTATTCTTCGCGAACTTCTAAAGGACCTTTAACAAGTATTGTACTTCAGCTTCTGGGTCAATGATCCCCACCTGGATCAGGTTTTCGTCCAGTTTCCCTGATCCTTGTTCAAATGCTGAAATGGCCCCTTGTTTTGCTTCTAGACGTAAATGTACATTCAAATTAACTTCTCCCCCTAGCATGTCACAGTTTTTAACTGTTTCGACGTAAATAAATAAAACTTAAATTACTATTCGTATCCATTCTAAACACAAAGTAGTCTAAAAACGAAACAATACTCAAATTTTCGAAAAATTGTACCTCACCTTATTTCAAAGTATATCATTAAGGAATAGATTTCAGTTAGGAAAAAATCTCTATCATCGATATTGTAGTTCTAAAAAGACTAAAGGAAATTGTACACGACCTTATATCAAATTATATCATTTAGGAAATGATTTCAGCAAGGAAAAATCTCTATCTTCAATTTCTTAGTTCTAGGAAGAAAGAAAATTTTGAACTTGTGAAATTTTCGAAAATTCAGGGTTTTCGACGAAAATGTGACCAGCTCCATTCTTGTTCTCCATTAAACGTCCTTTACACTATACAATAACGAAATTTATTCAAATACAATAGAGCCATTTTTTTGAACATTTTGAGAATGTCCCAGGGGCTTCGTGTGAAGTTAAGAATTAAAATATCGGTTTCCAATTCAAGGGGCCGCGACCAGATCGATTGAGCAAAGGTTACTTGCTACGAGAATATCGAGTCGCCTATTTCTCGAGCGCATTACCCATGTAAGGGATTTTCGTTGGCCACAGTCTTGTGTAGCCTTTCTCGTTTACGAGAACGAGAGAGAATATGCTGTTTTTGATCACCTGTTTCTTGGCATTATTTTTCCCTTTCTTTCAGTCTGTTCTTTTTCTTGGCTTCCCTTGTGTGGTTATGGGATTTGCGGTGGCCCCTTCACTAGGGGGTCTGAAGCGGCCGCTCCTGCTTAGTATTTGTATTTAGTAATATGTGCCTGTTGATGTCTTCGGGACATGATTTAGCACGGGAGCAGAGATGCAATTGCAAAGACAATGTTTGGGCCGCTTGAGCAGCAAAACATATATTACGGTTGGTCCAAATAGTAAATAAAATGCGCCATCTTGCCCAAATTGACTGCAAACCTGCCTTCCAACTTGATTCCCATCCACTGTCAAATCGCAGAATGGAATGCGCGTATGTAATACTATTGGCATTAATACATTTAGGCATTTCGAGGTCAGTCTCATTAGTTACTCTTATGTGTCCCGTCCTTTCACTTTTCTGCACATTAGTAACAATCGGTCAACATTCACGTCTGCGTATCTGGAGTGGAATATGGCGTCGTAGACACGGTATAGGTGCTGCTGAGAGGGGACGGAATCCGCCAAAACAGAGTGTCTGCAGCTTTATTTCTTGCATGATGCCGAGGCATTTCCAAGGAAATCAATTGCTAAGCTCCCAGACCGGTAAGAACTCCACTTCAACGCGAGATTTGCATGTCCAAGGGTCAACCACACTCTTATTGAATTCAACTGTACAGTTTCGCAAAATGCAAGACAGATGAAAAAAGTATTTTATTGTAAAAGCATCACACTAACATGTTTACACTTTGTACTGCAGCGATAAACACTCGCAAGAACGATATTTGCGATTTATATTTAACGCAGTTAAACATTGGACAATCTGGCAGTAGCCAATTACGCAGAAGATAAAAACATACGGAAATATATCATTTTTGTTTTTCACTTGAAGAGAGCAGACTAACGATTGTAAATGTTGTATACTTACTATATCTATATTTTATAATATCTTAGACACGAGTCCTACGCAGATATACAAATTAACTTAAACTGTACACGGAAGCTTTAAACATTGTATTTATCGTGTGTTTTCTGTGTTTCTATAGCAACCAGCAGTCATGCTGAACGTACACTTAAGGCGGGGTTTATTCAACCGCGATAAGATAACCGTCCATCCATCCGCTTGAGAACTTAGATTTAATACTTTATCAGTAAAGTTTCAGATGATTAAATATACTAAATATTTGTGATATGCAACGTTCAAAATAATAAAACAAAGAAAATAGTGAAGTTGTGTTGAAAGTCTCCATTGAGAATTGCTGCACGTGTAAACAACTACAAATCTAAGGATGCGTTCACGCCTATTTCTACTCGAGCAGTGAAGCACCGTAGGAAATACTGGAGTTCCTTGGGTCACCTGGAAAATGAAAGATTTCTTTTTTGTCTTCTTGTAAGTATTGTAGTTTTTTGGACCAATTTCATGAAAGGCGAAGTATTTCTTTTCTAAATTGAGTACTGAGTGAAAATATATGTACTTATGTGCATCACATTGGGAATAGTAACATACGTAAAGAATCAAAGAGAATTAAGTGTCTTTTAAATGCAATCCTTCTTCTACAACTGAGCCGAACATTCAGTTCTCGGGCTACTCCCTTGTTTTGTTGTCGTGCTTATCAGCACCTATGCATTGTTTATAGTGATGCTGTTAGCTTACCAGATAAAATAAGTCACAAAATTATATCCACCCTGGATGTTCTATCAACGTCTTGATCACTTTTGCAGTTCAGTATGTCAGTTTTAGAGGTAATTATTTTTTTTTAAATAGCACCTTACGATTTTAACTGCATAATTGCATCTAGACCAATCACCAAACAAGTAAATTGTATTTAAAATTTTAGGAGCGAAAATCGACTAAACGGAAACCACTTTCTCCTCCTATTCCTTTCTTTGGATCATCATAATTCTGGAAAAGCATTTGAGTGTAGATATTTAAGAAAGAGCCATGCTGCACAACAATGATTGGAGGAATGCCATTCCAAGACATCGGTTACGTCGGGATGGAAGCAACTACAGTGATTCGAGTTCGACTACCGCTAGCTTTAGTTGGCTGGTCACTGCAGGAGTATTCGTTATTCATGTACGTATGATTTCAACTCTTGGGATTATTCCAGTCACGAAAATTTGGTTTACTGGTAATATAATGATACATCTTGTGAGTGATGAGATTCCTGTGATAAAATAGACACAAATATAATTGATTCCTAATATTAATAAAAGGCCCTACTAAAAACTAATATCAACAATGTTTCATCTGTTACAATTGACATACAATATTTCAAAGATCTCTACAAAACGTTAAAAGGAGTAACTAAAATGATATGACCTCCTCTGGAAACTGCAATTTGCCATTAATATAAAAGGCCGCTCATAAAGAAATAGGATTTCATTTAATGTTGTAATGCAGAATTACCCTTCAATAAAAAGAACATGTATATTTTCATCCACTTCATGAGAGGTTGTCACTTACATAGTCAACATTACTGTATAGTGACAGATGGGTGCAAACTCTCTTTAGATTTCTATGAAAAATGGCAATTTTTTGAAAATTTCTGTGGTTCAGTATAATAATTTAGAGATTTATGTATTCAATACACAAATAATATGTATTCAATAACACTGAATTTCCCACCAACACAGAGTAAATATATATAATGGCCCCATAAATATATATAATGGTCATAAATTAAAACTCTATATTATACAGTAGATATAATTCTCAGAGAAAAGTGATAAAAAAATGTTATTCTTTGCCTTTCTTAACACCTGAAAATATTGCAGTTACTTTTAGATATCAATCTGGGTGTATCCATATATGATGGATACTTCTAAAACTCTAAAACCTATGTGTATTGTGAACTATTGGTTAAACATTTTATAACTGTTACATTTTTAATGTACTATCTTAACCATTCAAAAGGTTTAAAGAAAATTTATCTTTATTAATTCATTTAAAAATAGTTTTTCATACATATTTTTCTTACAAAACCATTTTTTTTAGGTTCTAAAAATAAACAAAAAATGGGTATGTGTACTCCCTTTCTCTTTCTTGCAACCAGAGAAAGGTTTTGCAATGCTTTAAATTCATAAATAGCCAATATATTTGAATGGTGTATTTCAGAAACAAGTCAGTGAAAAGTAACTTTTCAGTATTGACAAACAAAACTCTGACTGCGGTTATGTATAAAAAACTGTGAGTCAAGTCTTTAGAAGGTGTTTGAAAAACCCTACAGAAATGCTAACAGAGAATGTGACTGCACCACGATGTCGAAGGAGCAAATATGAGACTTATGTTGTTTCTGAAATAACCATTTATTTACAGTGCTAGCATTCCTCCATTGAATCACTGTCAACAATACTGTATGAGCTTAATTAATTTTAGAACTTAGATAATATAATTTGATGAAGCTTATGAAATATAACCATTGCATGGTTTTGAAGTAAGGTAATTTTTGGAAATTTCTAAGTTGAATCTGTACATCTTCATACAGTCGCATTATCTGTATCAAGAAATGAATTTAATAAAATATGTCACATGCTATTAAAAATGATCAATTTTTTGCATTATAACATACCTTGCAATTTTTGTTCATCTGTTTCAGTTAACAGTACCGACATTTTTTTCCTCTTACGGTGTGTTTCTTTTACATCTTGTAGAGAAGAATTATTTTTTAATTTGGTACGGATTATTACCACCCATAATGTACCTTGTTATTCAAAGTTTTGTGGGTAAGTGACTTTTCTTTTTCATTTTACTATTGCAATTTTTAATTTTCTAACATGATCATTTAACTAACATGTAGAATGCCATCTTATAAACTTTATAATATCAATTTAGACAACAGGCAGAAATTTAAAGGAATATTTTATTCAGATCAGCTCTTAACATGCTCACATTTCCACTTATAATTTAAATGATGTTCCTGTTTAATTAAACTTAGCCATTCTTTACTTTGTTACATTTGTGTTTGTGAACTTTATTGTGGCTTATTCTCTGGGAAATAGTTGTGATAATTTAATTAATTTGTAAACTAAACTGCATGCAAAATAAAACATTTTTTAATATTTTTTTCACTCTTATGCTTTCAGATCCAGTGTGTAGAAACGTTGTATCAGGACAAAGTTTGAGAAGTAAGATGAGAGCAATGTGTGCAGTATTGGTGATAGCAGGAAGTATTGCTGTTAATGTGTTTATGCAGTCAATATTTCTGCAAGTATTTACACATGGAATATTTGGAGGTACAATTGAAATTACAATATTTTCAGCTATAAGTATTTGAAGTAAATATACAACACATTATGGTCAATACAAGGTTTTTTTGTGGAGAGGAATAACAATGTCAAGAAAGAAGAACAGTACAACTGCGTGTATTACAAAAATATTCCTTGAGTCTTAATGCCATTCTCATTAACGCATGATTAAACGATAATAATTTTATGATCATTATTTTCAAGTAGTCATTAAGTTTGGATGTTTGAGAAGTGCATGACATGGAAAATCAGTTCTTAAATTGGCTCTTAATGAGAAGTATATTTTTTCTTTGTTTCCAAGACATAATTCTTAGAACAAATTGTAAACATAATTAGCTTATGGAACATTCTATGATCGTATGTTGAGATCTAAAAATACTCTAAGAGTTATACTCTAAGAGTCCAAAGAATAATTTGTTATTTTCGATAAGTATTTTGAAAGATACCATGTGACAAATTTAACAGCTTCCAACTTAAGATCTCTTAGTTTATCTTAGGGTGGGAGTTGTACATTTTTATAATACAGATGTTTTTGGAACAAAAATTCCCAGACAAGATATCTGAAAACTACTCGGGTTTCAAGTCACTGTGCAACAATGGAATTTTTACGTGGAAATTATAGTTACAATATCACCGTTTTATGCACGAAACCAAACAACAACAAAATTTGAATAAGAAATATTTACCGTATTTACCCGATTGCAAACCGATCTTTTTTACCCTTTGTTGTAGTTCAAAAATTGACCCTCGGCTTAGAATAGGTACCGTGTTGCTATAACGTAGTTGACACCAGACATCTGTAAAGAGATCTACTTTTCGTCGGCCACGCAGCCGACTCTGTACAACGTACTACATAAACTACCTCCGTTTGTAGTGTTCAAACACAAGACTCCCAAAATCAGTGTCATTTCCTTAGTCTGTCATTGCACGCACAAATGAAAATAGGGTAGTTTACTGAAGACATGGTGTTATAATGTGTTCAGTTGGTGTGACATTGTCGCCCTGGCGCTTTGTTGAGGTTACGTACTCTTACGCGGCCCACACTATCGAGGCGGTGAAGGACCTGAAAGATCGAGAAACCGACTTGGCAATTATTTTAGGGGGACTAACGTCAAAACTTCAACCCCTGTATGTGAGCATCAACAAACAAGTAAAGGCCAGGTTGAAGAAAATGTACCCACACTGGCTCTCCTAAGACGGAATGCCCACGGGGCGAGAGAAACGGGCTAGTCTATCGCAAGTGTGCGCTGGGATAGATACCTGGAGGAGAATTCCTAGAGAATTTGTCACATGGTTTTTTAAAAAGTGTCCCATCTCAAATGACCTTGTCGACAGCGATGACTCTTTTCATTGACAAAAGTGACGGTCAAGCACTGAGTAATAAATGATAGAAGTTAAATGTTAAACGTCGGAAACAATAGTCGCTCGCAGCGCTCCAAGTGGCGTGGCAAAGAACTACATAAACTGCCCACCAAGCCAAGTGTATGAAAATTTATTTCACTCAATCGTCTTCACGAAAGTTAATGGATATTAATAGGCAACATTCTACTGCAGTTTATCTAAAATATAGTAATAATGTGTTTTCGTAATGCACTTGGGTAAGGAGAGTCATTTAATTATATGGTAATGGCAGAAATGAAGTAATCAAATTGATAAACAAACTAAAATATAAAAATAAATAAATATTACCTTTATTGTCCAATTTATGTTAAACAATATTCAATACAGTCTTGAACATTTTAAATTTTTCCACCTTTTCATCGCCTTTTTGTATATTTCTTTTCAGTTTGTATTTTTTGTTTTTCATATATTACATATTTGTATATTAAAAAACATATACAATCTTTTTAAATAAGTTCTTCGGATAAATGCACTTAACAAATCAATGTATCATCAGGTGGTTTGTAATTAGAGCAAAAACTTATCTCCAAGTAATTTAAATGGTTATTAAATTTATTGTTTTCTAGAAATGTATACAAATATTCATGAACATTCTTTAAAAACATTACATTAAATAACAAATTATAATAAATAATTACATTACATAACAAAAAATACATGTCTTCCTAATAGTGTTATGTGAATACAGAAGGCTACAAATTTCATACAAATAATCGTGAATGGCACTTAAAATTAAATGTACACCTCTATTTTACAAAACATCCTTGCATTCCACTAAGACCAGCAAATCGAAATGAAAAAACTCGAAACTGTTGTGATTGTGTCTGCTAAAACAAAATATCTTGAAATGCGAAACACAGACATGAAAGCACAGAAAACTAAAGGAACTCACGAACGTAACCAACGGCAATAAGATTCACTCTTCCGCCATGTGGAAAATGCATGCAGGCTGGATGTGACGTACAAAAAACAACAACACGAAAACCACTAACCAATTATTGCTTGATACTCTTTCAACTAGTGCTCCAAGTGGCTTGGCAGTGTGTTGGCAATTTCCTTATCTTTCTTTTACCCCTGTGGACGGTCAAGTGAGGAATCCGAGTCGTCCAATGACGGCGCCTTAGTCAATGATCTCTAAAATATATAGAAATCAGTGGTCTGAGTGCATTAAGCATCAAATATATTTCTTACGTTTAAATAAATTTTCTTTTTTCCCGTTATTTCCTTCATTATTTCTTGGGGTCGGCTTATAATTGAGTAAATACGGTAAATTACATTTTTGTACATATATATATTCTTACTATAAATTCTGCAAAACCTGTATTAAAATTAAAAAGGACATGCTGATTGGCCAATAATTTTTAGTTAAATTTATGTGTCTATCCAACTTCAGTGTGCTCTACTTTATAAATTTTGTTCTTTAATTGTTTCTGTAGAGAGAAAATAGATTGACATCATCCAAAACATTAAGTACAGTATGTGTATTATTAATGTAATTATTGTGAAATTCCAGCTTTTTACAGAGGAACAAAATATAACATTTTTTTAAAACGTTACAAACAAATCAGTAAGTTCAACTTCATTAAACAGTGTTTTTATTAGTGCAATTTATATTTTCTTTTGCAGGAATTGGTGCCAGTGTTGTGGTAATACAAGCAGAGGCTGTGCTCAGCTGCCACTTTCCTTCCCAAAGAGGTCTGATACAGGTTTTATGCACCCTAGGAGTAGCCTTAGGTCACTTTGGAATGCCTTTATTAATAGATGGTTTGATTCATCATTATGGTATACATGGAGCATTTCTAATACATTCAGGAATTATTCTACAAGCAGTAGTTGGGGCTGCTCTTTTATCTCCCCCACAAGACAATACTTTGGATGCAGTATTCACAAACAGACCTCGTGCATATACAGTTGTTGATGATGTAGAGATGATTGATTTTTCATCACAGATGAATGGGTAAGCATATTCAATTATTATTTACTGCCATCATTAAATACTGCCAACAAAGTTTGCTTCTTCTTTTTTAATTTTATTTGTTTGTTTGTTGGTTGGTTGGTTGGTTGGTTGGTTGGTTCGTTCATTTATTTTTTTATTTTTTTTTAATTTATTTTTTTGACAAAAACATTGCCATTAATTTGCATTTACTGAATATTAATTCATATAATGGAGTGATGATTGTGTAACTTCTGTTCCAGCCATTCAGGTCACAGTCCATTATTATCTGCTGACCGTTCATGGAGAAATCCAGGAGTCGATTCAGATGCTAGATATGATGTTCCCCAAACCAGCAGTCCTGTAATTACATTGAGACAAAAAAATATAAATGGTGTAGACATTCTTCCCAAAATTCCTGAAGAATCTGAAGAGAGTTGTAGTGAAAGTGATGTTTCTTACAATAATGTTATGCACCAAGAAATTAAAAGGATTTCTAGTTATGAGAAAAATAATTACATAAGACCAAAAAAATCTACAGAAACACGTGTAACTATACACAAAGAAAGTAAACAATTTATTAATAATAAATCACTTCAGAAATGGAGAACAGTAAATTTAAACTCTCAGTATGGTGATAATGTAAATAGAGAACTGCCAAATTGTCAAGTCAGTGTTCGAAATGTAAATAATGTGGGTTACTCTGAAGAAGAAAGAGAGGCTTCATTTGAAACATATAATGTCACTGTGAATTTTCAAAGATTTGAATCCTCACCAAATCAACGTGAGAGACTATCTGTATTTGAGAATATCAAATATATACTACTTTGTGGTTGTTGTGAAAAAACAACTATTTATGACTTTTATATAGCTTTTTTAAATTTGCCCAATGACATACATTTTCATATGGTTGTGCCTTTAATGAATGCAATTAAAGTACCTGATTTTTTTCCAGCTGTATATTTTTATACAGTTTTACGCTTATGTCCAATAGTATTTACATCATTTACCCCTTATCTCACAAAAAGAAGAGTTGTAACGAGTTCATCTCAAGAAGGAGCCTTTACAATTTCAGTAGCTGCTTTCTGTTGGCTCTGTTTTCTCTTGTTCTCACCTTGTTTTTTGAAGGCAAAATTAGCCACAAAAAAGTTTATTTATTTCATAGGTAGCATGTTTCTGTCTTCAGGATTATACAGTGAGTAAAACTGTCTCAATTTTCTTTTAAAATACCTTTGCTAACAACACTGATGTGTTTAGAGGTGTATTGCCATATTGTATTATTGTAGTTATGTCCAGCACATGGAGTCATGGCTACATTGTTCTTGGAAGTGCTTTTTTTGGATTGGGATATGGAGCAACATCAGCCACAGTGGCATGTATACTTGAGGGAGATATGGGCACAAAGAATTTTGTTAAAATTCAAGGACCACTTGATGTTGTTTCTGGCTGTACTATTCTGCTGACATCTGTATTACTTGGTTAGTAATTTAATAATTACTTCAGTAAATTAACAATAGTTTAAGCACATAAATTCATGTTGTTATTCAATTTATTGCAGGTGTCTTAATACAAAATGAAAATGGACTTTTTGATTGTTTCTTTACTTTATCAGTATTACAAATGGCAACAATCATTGTGTGGATTATTTCAATGCTTAAAGTATTGCTTCAGCAACTAAGACATATTGCAAATTCTGATTGGCATTCTGGAGCTGATTTCATGACACCTGGTTGATTACATTATTTCATAATCATCTGACTAATTCAGTAACCCAAAATGTTTGAATTTAACACCCCATATTATTTATATTACATCAGGAAATTACAATCAATTACCAGTTTTGTGCTCAAACATTGGACAAAATATATTGGATTTCTATTATATGTATTGATTGGTAATATTAATTATTGATAATCCATGTATGGTAAAGACTATTTCTTCAATTTGAAAGATATTAAATCTCTGTTCTGTATCTTTTCATTGCTCTCTTGTTTTGCAAATGAAATATTCAAACAAGTTTTCAGTGCGGTCACACAATACTAATACATCATTATATGATATTCTTTTCCATCAATTTTGAATTAATGGGAAAAAAGGAAGAGGAATAACATTTGTCTTAGGAACTGAAAGAATAGAAAAAATAAGAAATGTAAGTCCACGGCACATGTATTTGTTTCAAGGACCATTTTGAGTTGATAGAAGAGAAGTATAGTAGGCTCTCAATTGTAAGGTACCTACCTCAGTCTTATGGCCATCTTATAGGAAAAGAAATAGTAGACCTACTACAGTTAAAATAGTGTTGTGTATTACAGCACAGTATTTTTATGTTGATAATGAATGTAGAAAGTATTCTTATCTACCAATGAGTTTTTATTCTTGTTGGAATTACGCACGTCAATCTTTCAATACGCAGATCTTCTCCTGATTACAGGAGTATTCTGGCGGATTACAACTTATGGCGCATGACACAGGGCCCTATAACTCCCATATAACGTGGTGGGGACCATTACAGTGGCGCGCTCTAGAGCATCACCTTCTTACGCGAACTAAAATTCGAATTGCTACCAACGTTATTTAAAACGCGCGAGGGTTCTCGGGACGCAAACACACGCGCTTGATGCAAAAAATCGCGCCGCTGTTCGCGCTACCTTTTCTTTCATGCGTGTATTATTACGAATAAACGAATTTAGAAGTTAAACACGTAGTATTTAACTTCTTTTGCATTTTATTTCAGAAATCGCTCTTAATGAAAGTGTACACGTATTTGTTGACCAATTTTTATGAGCGGAAGTTGGCGAGCCTTACCAGCAGCTGTATCGGGCGACACTAGCGCATGCTATAGTAGCAACCTCTAGCTTTGTCCCCAATATTGATGGAGAGTTGCCGGGCCCTGGCATGACACACTGTTAGCACACACCGAGCCACACACGTTCTTAGACGGTCACAGACACAGTACTGCTCCAGTCAAAGAGAACACAGAAGCGTCAGTCGATTGCTCGGCACATCAATAAGCACTCTTCTGATGTGATTGTATCGCCCTGTCGATAACTTCAACACTTCCCCTCGAGACAATCCCCCACACTTCACTTGACATTAACCAGTCCAAGCAGTTCCACGCACTTCTCATGCTTCGGCCTGGTCAAGGACCTCCGTCAAGCTGCAACCCCCACTTGTTCGAAATTCAAAATTAACTCGCCTATAATTTTGTACTAATTATGTACTAATTTTCTACCACAATTAAAAATTTTGTACTCGACTATAAACAATAAAAAAACCACATCCCAAAGTGGGGGTGCTAGATGTCGGTTGGCATGTCCACCGATGCCAGATGCTCCAACTTGAATAGCCCTGACTCCACGACTTGCCTCTTTCCTCTCTAACACTCCATTCGTTCCATACTTGTTCCTCAGAACAAATCTACTCTCTATCACACCTCTATAACTCTTCCTCTACTGCATTCCTGTCTCTGCTGTTCCGACCCGGGCACGCAGAAGGATCCCGGACGAGGTTCAACTCTATGAAAGAACTTATATCGGCAGCCACCTCATCCCTTCCATGCAGCCCTGGGACCTTTTGAGCGCCAAATTCATTGACAGCTTCGCTTTTGCTCTTCAGGAATTTTACATCACACCAGCTTGAATGGTCATCATTGAGTGTGTAGAAGTATTTGTACTTCCCATACGATGTTACGCGCATTGGTCGACATACGTCGGAATGAATCAAGTCACCCGCGACTGACGAACATCTGAATCCCTTAGGGAACATTTCGTTTCTTCCCCTGCAGACAAACTCTGCATTCGAGACCTTGGTCGATGTTGACAACGATACCTGGCAGATGTCTAATCTTCACATCACGTAAATCCGGATCGTTCAAGTATCCGAATTGGATGTGCCAGTCTTCAAAGGAATTGCTTTCCGGTCCCATCCGCACGTCTTCGTCCTCTGCAATCTTGGCGCACTCACCATTATCTTGTGCACGGAATAAGTAAAGGTCGTTCTCGCGGTGAGCAGCACTTTCCCGTCGCCGTCCAGAACCTCGGATTTTCTCTTCCGGAAAAGGACACTGTTCTCCTTGTCCGTTATCTTGCTCACCGTCATCATGTTCGTGCGCAGGTAGAGCACATACAGTATGTTTTGAAGCTTGATCACCTTTACGCTCCCACTCACTTCTGCCCTCGATGAAATAGAACCCATTCCCCTCGTTTCCGTGCGCGCGTTGTTGGCCAGGTTTACTTTTCCAGGCCCTCCTTTCATCGATATCCTTGAAAGAGCTAATATTCTTGCACATGTGAGAGGTGCATCCACTATCGATGCACTATGAATTCCCTAGCTGCTACCGGTACGGAATCTCACGTCCGGTGTGTTCCTCGACACATAGAGTAGCGTCCTCGGCACCACTGGTTGTTTGCTGAATCTTCAGGTCTTGTACTCTTCTAGCCAGCGGACAATTCCTTGCTCTATGGCCGATTTTCGAGCACACATAGCACTTCATCCTGGAATCCCTTTTCGACTTCTCGCCATTCATACGACTCCTCGACCTGCCTCCCCCGAACTTCCCGGCGGCGATTGTGCTTTGACTTGCACTTCTCCGGTCGTCCTTCCGCGAATCGAACTCTTCTCCGATTTTGATTCTCAGGACATCTGGTGTCGGCTAGTTAGCGCGTGTTGCGATCGCGCATCGAAAGTTGTCGAAACTGTCGGGGAAACTTCGTATCAAGATTACTGTCAGCAAGTCTTAGTGGATGTTCACTTCCATGTCCGATATCTTGTCTGCTACATCGAAGAGTTCACGAGCGAATTCTCGCGCATCGTCGCCATCTTGCATTCAGTTAATTCAGAAAATTACGTTTGTGTAATTTTTGAAAACTCCAAAGAATACATTCAAATGACTTTTGTCATGTTATTCAGTGGATGTAGCTCTATCTATACAAAAAGTTTGAAGAAAATAATTGGAGCCATATTAGAAAAAATCTTATTTTTAAAATAACCATGCAAAATTACTCATAATTTGAAAACGTTTGTATGTTCTTATTTAAAGATCTGATTTTGAAGAATACATTTTAGTTCGAGGAAAAATCTCTTACTTCTATTTTGTAGTTATAGGAAGACGCCAAAACATTTTGACGTTTCGTAATTTTCTAGAATTCAGTTATATCAGTGAAACAGAACTGTCCCATTTTTAAGTGTCATTAATGCTCTCTGAAGACCAAGTTTAATTAAAAAATTTGAAGCCATTTTTGAGAAAAAATTGACAATGTCCTTGAGGCTTCATATAAAGTATCCGCAGAAATTAAAATATTGTTTTGAAATTCATCAACCAGATTGTTTGGGAATATCAATTTTGGTGAAAAAACAATTTTTCGAAATTAAGGTCCTACAAAATGTGGAATCTCACTAACGTGTAGTAATGTATCATGGAGTAATGCTATAGGTTCTTTAACTTTTCAAATCACCATTGCTCCAATTAGTAATTTTAGGATTAACACATGAGATGTAGTTCAATTTTAAATGTTTCCCTTCCTTGGGCAAATTCACAATGTAGTGTTTTCCAGGGATATGGAGAGTCATTGTTAAATGTTACTGAATTCAAAGGAATTCAACAAGCATCGAACAACAACACATTTAAGATGGGATCTGTAAAATAAATGATATTACTGCTTACATAAAATCCAATGATGTCCTAATATATTTTCAGCAACACAATTACAGTAATTGTGGGATGATAATTTAGTAGCAAATTTTGTCATTAGGAAAAATAAAATTCTTCATTAGCTTTCAGGCCATAGACATAGCCATAGCCACATAATTATTACCTCCGCTTAAAAATTGTTTTGAAGGTAAAACTTCTTTTGCACACGTAAGCTTCCGCTGCTCGAATCCATAAATTCTGGGCTATCAGGGAGACGCCGCGTCGTTTGGCTGAGAGGCCGACGTTTCGCCTGACTTGTTGCAGGCTACTTCAGGGCAGTAACAGTCACTGCCCTAAGGAAGTTGTTATGTTTCAAAAACGAACAATTTCACCTTCAATCAACCACTGTGAAGACATTACTATTGAAATTTGATGTACTTTTCATTTCAAAGTCAAAGATACAATGAATAATATTTAGATTGAACTACTAGCCTGCAGCTGCAAAAATGCTGCAGAAGAAAACCACACAAAATGGTGTTTCACAAACAAGCACACACACTGCTCAAGAACAAGAAATAAAATACTATTGTATAACTGCCACAAATTATTTTAACAAAAATTCTTCACAAATTCTGCAATAGCATAATATAATGTTCATGAATACCTGGAACAACGGTTCTTTACAGAGGGGTTGTCCATATATTTCACTCCACTCCACTCCAAATCTGTAGTGTAATGTAAGAGGTGAGTTTCACCTAATCACTGATATTGGCTTAGAATTTCCATTTCTATTTACACAGAAAGGCCTAATTCCCTTAAAAATTATTTTCGAGAGAATGATCTATCACACTCCTCAGTGCTATATTCGGGCGATAAAGATATCTCTAAAGAGTCAGTTACTGTTTCATTATCTTGCATACTCGAGCTATAAAGTCAGCACGTTGAGATTAACAACATGCACAGAGGGGAGTTATATTCCCACTGAAAATGTTGATAAGAGTCCCATAGCCTTGCCTATTAAAACATTTTATTCCCTTATAAATGTCCAATCCCTGATATTCCCCTTTGGTCCGACAATCTGGGAAATTGTTATACATTTTGGGGAAAAGCTTTCCAAGACACCTGACAGCTGTTTAAATAGTTTAACAACGAATTTATTAATAGTATCATTAATCTTATAAACTCGTTCTTACTGCAGTATTTTTTTCACTTAGTAGTAAAATATGTCATATGTAACTAAAAATCCCTAACGGAAAAGGGGGCTGAGATTTTTTTTCTCTCTTTCTCTCCCTCTCCCTCTGCCCCCTCCTTCTCTCCCCCTCCCCTCTCCTCCCTCTCTCCGATCCCCAC